CTTACAAAGCTTGAACCCATCGGAGAGGAACATCAAGAGAAGCGATGACTACAAGATCAGCCTCCACGTGTAGACTTCTCAACGATCTGATCAAGACACGTGTCGCCACATAGAACTCGTAATCCCTTGGCGTTCCCATATACATCATCGTCGCGTAAGCGTTCTTATGCTCCGGCCGCCGCGTTTTCAAACCACGATCACCTAACGCCACCGCCGCGTTTGCGTTTTCTACCGCTGTTTTCTCCGGTTCCAGCAGCTGTCTCTCTCGATACGCCGTCGTTTCGATTATCAGGAGAACCAAACACAATAACATGACCATACCTCTCTGCAAATCCATTTCTTGAATTCTCTTCGTAAAATGTCCGAAATTGCAACAAACAATACAAAATGAATAAAAGAATGATTTGGAATCTGAATTTATTGGAGAATATGTAAACGGATACAGGCGTATAAATATACACAATGTGTCAATGTGAGAGAGAGAGGGAGGTTTCTGGGAGACTGTGAAGGGTTAAATGGTTTAATGGCGAGTGGCCAATAAGAACATTTTTATAATTATATATCTCTGTTTAAAAATTAAAAGAAGGACAAAAGTTGAGCCAAAAAGGGATATATAAATTATATACCTGGTTTGGTCTTATATATAAATTATATACCTGGTTTGGTCTTACTTTACCTAAAATAAGTTAATTACTATTAATTGGAAGCTAATTACTGAAAAATGTACATCAAAGAAATTTTATATTGAAAATTGAAAACATCATCTAATTTAAAACAAAAATAATTTTCTTTTTTTTGTCATGACAAAAATAATTTTCTAAAACATCATCTATTATGATACGGAGTGAGTACTAGTGTAATTAAAAGTGAAATATAAAAAATTTGATTCTCGATTTTACAGGCTAGAAAAAACAGAAAGTCGCATATATCTTTAGTCACATTTTTCGGACTAAAGAGAGATGTGTAACGTTGTGTTAGTATGTAACGCACAAGAGGATGGTGAATTAAGGTTTGCTTAGTTTTTGTTTAAATAATAAGATAAAGGTGAGTTATGAAAGTAACCGCATTTTTTTTGTTTAATACTAGTATATATGTTGGGCGGCTAATAATATGGAAATGGTCAAATTTAGGAAGTACGACCATGTGGGCGAGTCTTTGTTCCCTTGTCAAGTGGTGTGCAATCTCATCCTAGTTCATTACATGTTTATGTTACTTATTACAAAAACCAAACCAAAAAAAAAAACTAGTATTTCAAAGTCAATTATGTCGAGAAACTCAAAACCAAAAACATTGGTTTGTGAAAGCTCCAAAAGTTCTAAATGATTTTATGAGGGCGACATCTTTTTTGGTCGAAATTAAAATTTTCATTAGACCGGAAGTAAACCGGTTTGGGTTGAGACATGGTTTAAAGTCGATTTAGCCAATAGATCGGCTTCACCATTTTTATCCCTTTGAACATACTCAAAGGTTACATGCTTGAAATTGAGAGAGAGGATCGAAATGTCCTCGAGAATTTCCGTAGATCTCAGTATTCTGGATCTTCTTGTTGATGAGGCGAATCAGAGATTGAGAATCTAAAGCTAACCTAAGGTTTTGCAGACCCTTACTCGTCGCGTGTAAGAGGCCTTCTCGGATCGCAAGGGCTTCCGCCATTAGAAGTGATGAAGTATAGGGTTGTACCATGGAACCTTGGTCTATGATTCGGTTACGGTGATTCCGAAGGATCCAGGCAAGTCCCGCTATTTTTGATTCAATTCGCCATGCTGCGTCGGTGAAGAGGCGATAAGTCTCAGGTCTCGCTTCGACTGGGTTGCAATCGGGGGCCTGGAGGTTTGTTTTCTGTTCTAGGATCTGTCCTAAGATCCATTCTCTAGCATCAGTGATAGCTTTGTTTGCTGTTTCTTTCGCTGAACAGGCACGATTGGAGAAGATGAGGTTGTCC